GGGGCGCTGTGGGGCTCTATGGGGCGCTGTGGGGCGCTGTGGGACTCTATGGGGCGCTGTAGGGCGCTGTGGGGCGCTGTGGGGCGCCCCCCCATGGCGGCTGTCCCCGCTCAGACCGAGTGCTTCAACTTCATCCGGGTCCTGGTGGCTCTGAACCGCACCCACCTGTACGCGTGCGGCACCAACGCCTTCAGCCCCGCCTGCACCCACATCGTGAGCCGGGAGGGGGGTGGGGGGACCCCAGGGGGGGGCTGGGTGTCCCTGGAGGGTGTGGGGTGATGGGTGAGCAGCCCGGGATGTGGGGCTGAGGGTGGGGGGCTGGGCGATGCGTGCCCCACATCTATGGGGCTGGGGTTCTGTGTGCCCCCTCCCCGCAGCCACAGCCCCACAGCTGGGTGGGATCCCAGGGAAGCCCCCCTCCTGCCCCACATCTGTGGGTCCCTCTGACAACCCCATGCTTTCCCCCCCCCTCGCCCCACATCTGTGGGTCCCGCTGACCCCCCCGCCCCACAGCTCCTGGACAACTCCTCCCTGCCGTGGGTCGCAGTGGGGCAGCGCGATGGAAAGGGGCAGAGCCCCTTTGACCCCCAGCATTCCCACACTGCGCTGCTGGACGGTGAGCAAAAAATGGGGGGGGACCCCAAAAAGCGACCCCTGGGGGGGGACCCCAAAAGTGGGCTGGGGGGGGATGACCCCAAAGACTGAGGGGGTGACCGGGAAGTGGAGACCCCAAAAGTGGACCCTGAGACCCTCGGAAGCGACCCCAAAAGTGGAGGAGGGGGAGACCCCACAAGTGGGTCCAAGTGACCCCAAAGGGAATTTTGTGTCCCTGCCCCACTGAACTGTCTGACCCCGCTGACCTTTGTGACCCCCTGACCCCTCTGACCCCTCTTTCCGCCTCTGACCCCCCACCCCATTTGACCCCCTGACCCCACTGCCCTCTTTGACCCCTTTGACCCTTCTGACCCCACTGCCCCTCTGACCTCTCGACCTCTCGGCCCCCTTTGACCCCTCTGACCCCCCTCCCCCTGCTGCCCCCTCTGCCCCTCTTGGCCCCACTGACCCCATTCCCTCCCTGCCCCACTGTCCCCTCTCACCTCTCTGCCTCCTTTGACCCCTTTGGCCCCTCTGCCCCCCACTGACCCCACTGCCCCCCTGCCCCCCTTTGACGCCGTGCCCCCATTGCTGCAGGCGGGGAGCTGTACGCAGCCACAGCCAACAACTTCCACGGCACGGAGCCCATCGTCTCGCGCTCGCTGGGCGCCCGAACCGCGCTCAAAACCGACGCCTTCCTGCGCTGGCTGGCAGGTGGGGAACCGCCCCATAGCGACAGCTGGGGGTCACTGCCCCATAGCAACAGCTGGGGGTCATTGCCCCATAGACACAGCACCCATGGGACTCCCACCCCATTGCAGCAGCACCCATAGGACCTCCCCACCCCAAAGAAACCTCCCACCCCATGGGCCCCACCACCCCATAGGAGCCCCTCACCCCATAGAGACCCACCACCCCATAGGACCCAGCATCTCAGACCCACCACCCCATAGGAGCTCCTCACCCCATAAGGACACCCCATAAGGACCCACTACCCCATAGCAGCCCCTCACCCCATAGGATCACCTCACTCCATAGGAGCCCCTCAACCCCACAAAGACCCACGACCCCATAGGAGCCCTCAAATCCATAAGGACCCACCGCCCCGTAGGGG